AAAAATGTTGGCATAGTTTGATGCTATCTTGGTGCCCATAGCTATGCCTTTTGTTTGAATAAAGAATTCATTATTAAATGCAAAACCGTTAAGTGTAAGTAATAGTTCAGATAAGTATGTAATAATTTGAGTGTTGAGCTTGTCTAGTTTTTGCAGAAAATATTCTAGGGCTTTTAGGCCCTTTATTCTCCTGAAGAAGAATAGTCAACTATTCGAATGTGATTGAGTTTCGGGTCTCGTTTTGAAAATATCGAAATATGTACCACAGACATTAGCACGAAGTGGTCTCAATAGATGTGTAGCTACTTTTGAAACCCAGCCAACAGATGGGCATTGGACCATAAATAATAAAATGAGCAAAGCTGAAAAATATGCTATTTAAAGGTTAATCCAAGATGAAAGAAATTGTTTTTCAACAATCTATGACAGTTTGTTTGACGGTGGAGAACAGAACGGTATCATTGTCAATACACAAAAACCTATAGTGTATCATGATGTAGGATCAGTATATGTTCGGGGCTGCAACTCAGGCAGTAGTGTTGTTGATGTACATAAAACTGATGGCACCCTGACTACCAAAAAGTGCATGCACAGTTGATCTATCATGTCATTCGCCAATTAATATGATTCGTCGTGCAGAAATTTATTTAGACGCAGGAAAGGCGTCTAAATAATAATCATACAGCAAAGTAAAGAGGCCAATGAAACGCTCACAACCATGATGTATTTTGCACAAAGTCCTGATATGGACATTCTTAATTCTGTTTGGGCTTATGTAAAAACTGAGAAGACCTAAAGGCGACCAAACAAGGTGGCTGAATTGTGAGGAGAACAGTTTAAGCAGGTATCCACAATCCTACATTATTTGAATGGTGTCTTACAGCTTGTCAAGGTTTAATTCCCCTGCCTTGTAGAGCAAAAGACTAACATACAAATTATTAGCCTTTCTTTTGTATTTTATGTGACAATGTTTTCTACCATTAACAATTTCATAAATTAGTTGCCATTATTTGTTTTTCTATACTCTTGTATGAGTATAGTTTGTGTAATCCCATTTTTTATTCCATTACTGTATATTGTTACGTCTCCGTTTGTTAATTAACTTTCCCTAACTTCGTTCCGACTAAACTTTAGCGACACAAGTCCTTACTTAATAAAACTGGTTTATTCTTTCCGAATACAACTTTACGATACACTTA